TCAAAAATTTGTTTAAGCAACTAAAACAACTTACAATTTTGCAACATATTAAACTTACTGCATATCAACACATATCACATCTTACAATACCACTTAAACAACTTATTCATCATTCATCAATTGTATAACAACTTTAACAACTAACTTTTCATCATACAATTCGTGTCTGACGCTACTCATTGGGCTTCCGACACCATTGAGATAAGGAGTTTCCTGTCTTGTCTATGTCCAATGTGATTAAGACAAAGAGTGTCCCACACTCCCGCATCTGGTGTTGCAACACCCACACCTGACCCTGATTAGGTAGAGAGCTCTCTGCTTGATTCACGCTTGGTGCCACACACTCTAGCGCCCAATGTGAATTCAGACAGAGACGAGTCTCTTTTCTCATGTACGATGCTATTCAATCCATGCCCGATAAGATTCCAACTCGAGAGGAGTCTCTCTTCTCATGTCTAGCACCATCAATCTTATGCCTTTCATGATTGAGATAGAGACCTCTCTTTAAAGTCTCGTCCAACGCCTTGAAGTCATGCTTGACACGATATTACATTCTACGCTTGTGAAGAATTCGATTTCACCCACTCTCTTGAAAATCAACAAGTCTCAATAGCATGCAACACAATAAATAACATCTATATAGCCTATATAACACAATTTCATCATTAGAATCAACATGCAACTACAATTCAATCAAGAATCAAGCATGAACCTCCATGAACACCCTTTGAAGAACAAAACCCCTCTCAACTTCATCATTCAATCACTCAAAACTTTAATTAATTCATTTCAAATCATCATAACCATAGAATGCACACTTAAATTCAAAATCACAACTTCCACAAGAAGAGAAGAGAGAGAACTTCATGTAACTTTGACTTGAATCTTTCGCTTCCATAAGCTTGGATTCTGGCCCACAACTACTAGGATTGACTAAGAAAATAGTAAAAAAGGAAATTTCTAGTAAGAAGGAAGAAGAAAGAAGGGAGAAGGAGGAAAGAATCTCTCTAGCTTCTCTCTAGAGTTCTTGAAAAACTTAAGTTATGAACTTTCTTTTAAAAAGTTTTGTTTTATACCTTTCCTAAGCCAACTTCACTTATCTCTAATCCAATTCTCCAAAGATCAACGAATCTTCAGGGTGTCCCAATCCTAAAGCTCTTAAGAGTCACTATCAAATCAAACAATAAGATTATGAGATGATAATGTTACACTTTTCAATTTTGAACAAAAAAAAAAAAAAATTCACATTCTTCTTCGCATTTCTTTTTACTTCTTGTTTCCTCTCCATATCAAACATATATATGAACAATATATCTCTTTCAAGATACTTCTCTCCCACCAAAGTGAGTTAATAAATAAAGTTAATCACCTATACACTGCCAGTATAAAGTTTTTTTACACTGACAACCAATCATATCTTTTAATAGTGACATGTCAGTTGCTTATTTAATGAAATAATAATAAAATAAGCAACTTTAAAAAATATGATTGATTGTCAGTAAAAAACTTTATACTAACAGTATAGGAATGATTAACTCTAATAAATATATATGTAAAAAAAAAAATTCTTGAAAACTAAAATAAAGTTACATAAAAAAATACGCTTATGCAATTTTCAATATGTAGCATTTTCTAATCTAGAAATTCTCATGGCCACCCTTCAAAAATTCTAAGAAACCAATAAAGGGATCGTGAATCAATCAAACTATATGCATAATTATCATACACCAAAAAAAAAAAAAAGACAACTTACTTTCATTTACCTCGATAGAACTTTAGTGTTGGCAAAGGTACTCTTGTGTGGTTTCCTCCATCCACTACAAGAAAAATCAGCATTATTTACGGAAAAAATCCGTAGATAATGCTGAAAATCTGTAAGTAACTGTTAATTACCTACGAATTACCACGGAAAAAAATCCGTAGGTAATAAGCTCGTAGGTAACGTTACCTACGAAAATTTTTCGTAGGTAATGTTACCTACGGAAAATTCCGTAGGTAACGATTCTGTAGGTAAAGTTATCTACGGAATTTTCCGCAAGTAACATTACCTACGGAAAAATTCTGTAGGTAACATTACCTACGAAATTTAATTATATTAAATATATTCATTTTTATAAGACAGAAATAAGAATTATAGAAAAATTAGTTAGAGTATATGCATGCATTATCATTCTAAAAAAAATTATATGCATCTTCTGTTTGAACCAAACCCTTGGGTGCAGTTTTTCACTTATGGCAATTGAGCGATCACGGAGCAAAAGAGAAGTACATTTTTAGCATTTTCTTAGGTATTTGTTTAGAAGTTTCCATCTTAAAAATATAGCTATAAATCATTTGAAGTATAAGATAAATTAATCTAAAACTATATTTATCGTTATTGAAATTTGATTAATGGGTATGGCAACCAGCTAGCAATAGACAGAATCTTCGACCTTTCCTGCGAAAGAACCTCTAAAGTGATCGATGCTACCTTACTTAAATGTCTTTTAATAAATTACTAATATATATAATATAGCAGTGTTGGAACAGAATGGACCATATTTTAATGTACATATGGTTGTTAGGAAATTAAATTACTTCTTCCCTTTTTTTCCTTTTTAATTTCTTTATCTTCAGACAGGACGCATGCATGTTTCTTAATTTTTTCCCCTTTTACTAAGAAAAACAAGAACGTCGGTACAAAGCTCTTGCATAATTGATTCATTCTTTCGGTAATATAATGTTTTGCTTTTCTTTTTTAATAAAGAAACTTTTGGGGTCGAGGAGCGAGGATCAATTTCTCTACATAGTGTTGATGAAACAATAATATACAATGAGATGTGAGAGCAGTATATAATTAATTGATAGTGAAATTGAAATTGCTGGATGCAACTAAAAATGTGTTGATAATAATGAAGGTGTTGATGGTTGAGGTTACCACAGATATAGATCCACTAAGTAATCAAAACTATAAATTTTATCTCACAAAAAGACAGCTTAATTTCTTGTAAGTTGCAAACAAAATGATCATTAAAAAAATCTGTGATTTCATCGCATGAGCTCAATGATGAGAGTTGAGACTCTCTTTCACAATCACTTAATTATGGCATATGCCTATGATGGAGATCAAAGTAGATAATTGAATGTTATTGATTGATAATAATACCAATAATAATGCTTGAAAAATTATTATTGTGGAATCAAACATCGTAGATGCACCATATGTAATAGGAGTATAGTTTGATTTGCAAGCACCATGTTATACATCTTTAAAGAAGAATGACACATTTCAAATTAACTATGATAAAAAGTCATAAAACCAGTATCCTAACATCAGTGATCTAAGCAATTAGCAATGTTGCATTTGGAATTATGAGCTCACAGTCTCCGGTACTGACGGGAAATTGTTATATACTTATAGGATGATTTTTTTAGAGGTTATAGGAGGAGCTGGCAATTAGAATTAGAATGTCTAAGTTAATAACGGTAATACTTTTGGCTTTAAATTTTTAGTTTATATTGTACCATTATACACGTGTTTGAGCGTATATATGCTTTACGCGAGGACAGGAACTAATTTGTCTTGCTTTACATTTTTTTTAATGCATAAGAATTATAATGAACCGCTGAGATTAATTTAAACTTAAGACTCTAAATATATTATTTTAATCTTTTTATTGCTGTTAAAATAAAAGTTAACAAATTTTTTAAGAATTTTTTATTAGAAAAATCTTTAGTTTTTATAGAATAAAAGTGTATTGATTAAACAAGTTCATACACTTTACAACTCGACATCTAAACAATAAAAAATGTATAATTCTAGGATTATTATGCAAGTAATTATTAGATGTACATGCAATAATATATATATATATGAAGAGAGATTTGTTTACTCCAAAAATAAGTTTACCTAAATTTATTCTGTTCAATAACTCACGTTTTACATCAAATTTTAACAATACAACCGTTGAATTTAAAATTCTTAATGCATATATCAAGTTTGCAAGTTTTCGTAGGTAATATTCCGTAGATAACCAAACATTACCTACAGAAAAAATTTCGTAGATAATATTCCGTAGATAACTAAAAATTACCTACAGAAAAAATTCTGTAGGTAATATTCCGTAGATAACTAAATATTACCTACGAAAAAAATTTCGTAAGTAATATTCCGTAGATAATAACAGTTTTTCTTGTAGTGATCAACTTTCATACCTTCTTGCATTTCTGACATTTAGAGCAAATACTTAGAAAACGAAAAAAAAATGCAAAGAGTCACATGATAAATACCCTCTGGTTAAGTTTAACCACCAACAACTGGACTTTAGAAATCACTATATTTTCTTATAAAGACAAAATCATTTCTTATAAAAGCAAAACCAACCCAATATAAAAACCACTTTTTATTTTATTAAAAAAATAATTTATTATTTAAACTATTTCTAAAACATAATGTTTTTTATTTAATTTAATTTATGAAAACTATAATATTACATCTTCCATCAATTAATCTATTTCCAATTAATAAAAGAATTTTTTTTATCTTTATTATCGTCATGTCATGCGACGATAAACGTAATTTTTACTATTTATATTCTTACGCTTCTTCCTGAACTCTCATAAGCTCCGAACATCTATTTGGGTATTAGGTATTGAAGTCTATTTTTCAAGTACATTTGCATTTTGGGAAAAATAAAAGTAGTTCGAAGAAAACATTTCTGCTAAAACCGTGGGTTGGGATCCATTTTTTTTACTGAGAAGAAAAGGACACGAGGATAGAAACTGTTTAACGGATCCTTCTCTTCATTGGCAGGTTTGAACAGATTCATCGTATCCTATCGCCTAATACACCTTTCTTTTTGTATCTGGTTATTTGTTTTCATCGCCTATTCAATACGCCAAATCAAGTTTATGAAGCAGATTGTCGTGATGGTCTTGAATCTCTTGATTATACCGTCCGACATGTATCGACAATAACAGTTATTGCCAACTAATATTTAACTTCCAATGGTAAAATCAGGTGAAGTTTAAATTGCAACTTTAAGGTACGATGATATTCTTAGCAATTGGAAAGATTAGGATGGTTATCCTTCAAAAATTCATTCATGTACATGCACTTGACTTACCCCGGGTTGTTCAATTTTTCTTTTTGACTAAATCCAACAAAGATAGTTTACCTAAAGGGTAATTAGGAATATTCGATAACATGCTAAAACACACTTGAATCTTCTGCTTTATTGTCTTGACAAGAAACAATTTTCCTATCCAAGTTCTTTTTTTCTTCTTTTTTCTTTCAAGTACCCAACAAAACGAGTTACATCAAAGAACTATTCCTGTCCATGTTTTGCAACATCATCGAGAAAAGTCCTCATATTCCTATCCGAAGAGCCCCCTTCCTTCACAGCTTCTCTGGCCAAGCATTTCCATTTCTCAGCATTCCTTCTCATTTCTTGTCCTTTTTCTCCACTCCCCATGACCACTTCCAAACACTTCCTAATCTCTTCAGCTTCCACTACCCCTTCCTCATTCACCTTATCATCCACTCTCACCCCAGTCTTCCACACATCTTGCACCAACTTCGCATTAGTCATTTGATCTGACCACTGAGGAAACGCCACCATAGGAACCCCCGAAGCCAAACTTTCCGTAGTCGAATTCCATCCACAGTGCGACACAAAACACCCCAATGAACCATGAGACAGAACCTCCACCTGAGAACACCATTTCACTATCTTCCCCTTCACCTCCAGCTCCTCTCTGCAGCTCACCTCTTGTAACTTCTCCTTCTCTTCCTTTCCATTGTTTTCTCTAATAACCCACAAGAAAGGATACCCAGAATCCAGCAACGCACGTGCAAGCTCCTCCGTCTGTCTCTTATTCAACACAGCAAGGGTACCAAATGAAACATAAACCACAGACAACTCAGGCTTCGAGTCCAACCATTCAACGTAATCATTAGAGCCATCAAAGATATCACCACCAAAGGAAGTATCACTCGGGTCTTTACCATCCAAGAAGGCAGAGGGAATGAGTGGCCCAATTGGTATCATGGTGAACTTATCAACTGCTCTCAAGGACTCGGATTCCAACTCCTCAAAGGTGTTAACGAGAACTATAGGGTTGGTTTCTCCGTCGAGATCTTCAAACTGTTCTTGGAAGGTTGGGAGGGCAAAAGTGTAGATATTGGAGGATAACAGGAAGGAGGGAATGTCACGTGAAGTGAGTGAAAATGGCAAGCCCGGCAACTCTATGTGCGATTGGTGGCTGATGTAGTCCTTGTATTGGTGGAAGTAGTGATAGTAGATATCGAAAACCGTGGCTGGTTGAATCCACAGCAGCGCCCCCGGGAGGTGAAACTCACGCGCCACCCGTCCGGCCCAGGGAAGGAGGATGGTGTAGGCTAAGCAGGTGAAAGGTTGGCCATCGTTTTTGGCGGCGGTTATGATATTTCTGAGACACTCTGCGCCGCGCCGCTTCAGCTCGGAGATGTAGGAGACGACTTGGGAGTCGTCGGTGGTTCTGTAACCGTCGTCGTAGCCGTCGGAGAAGGTGGAGAAGGAGAGGCCGGGGACGGTGGGTTTTTTGAGCATGCGGCTGTGGTGGTAGACGCTGGTGACGAAGGTGACGTGGACGCCGGTGGCTGCGAGACGCTTGGCGAACTGGATGGCCGGGTTGATGTGGCCTTGTATGGGGTATGTTATGAGGAGGAAGCGGTGGTGCACCATGGTTGCGGTGGCGCGTGAAAATTCACTCACGTGCTGACTGGGATATACGTGTGTTGTAGCTTGAGCTTGAGGAATGAGTGAGTCTGTGAATATGGTTTTATATGCAAATTAAAGATAAATGAGTGAAGGTAGTAATGACGTTTGCGGTGACGACGGCATGTTTGGAAAACACGTTAGGTTAAAACGTAAAACCAAACATGTTACGTTTCTTTCAGCCCTTCTCCTTCACCAGGTCTCTGTGAGGTGTGGATTGGTCCAAAGTACCAAAAATGATATCAACAAATGGAAACAAATTAATATAATATTCAATATTATTCATTTAGGGTTTTATAAATATAAAAATAAATAATTTTCTTTAAATACTTGTATTTTAATCGATATTTATTATAGGTAACTAAAATTTATAGTAAATTATATATCAATTATATTTAAATTTTATATAAATTAATATTATATTATAATATAATATATTTTTTTATTTATTTAAATTATTTAAATTTAATTTATAAATAATTATAATAAATTAAAATTAAAATAGATAAGAGATTAAAAAA